ATAAACAACATCCATGAACATTCATTCAAATATAACTTTAAATTTCGATTTCAAGTAGACCAAAAAGACAATTCTTCTTTTTTTAAACTGATGTAGAGCGCGCGAATAAGTCAAAAGGTCGCTGGGCGATGCCATGTGCGCATAAATACCGTAATTTTGTATTGATGGATTTATGGTTGTGAATGTGTTGTTGTTGTTGTTTTGTTGTTTGTTTTTTTGTTTGTTTGTTTGTTTGGTTGGTTTCTTTTGTTGTTTATTTTTTTGTTTTGTTTTTGTTTTTGTTTTTTATTAACGCATAAATTCAATTACATTGTTTCTTTAATGTCATTTATTATTAAGCCTCAGGTAGTTAAACAAAATGAGCATATAGGGTAAAGGTTACTGCATTTGAATGGAAATATATAAACTCGTTTTATTCTATAAAAAAATATTGCACTCCGCAAAGTTATAAAGTATTTTCCAAAAAAAAAAACATTCATATTTTCCCATATAAATTCAATAACCTATAAAAGCAGCAATCTACGTGGCGTCAGTGAGGAATGATAAAAGCGGGAGCCTCAAAGACTCATTTCTTAGTGTTAGACTCGCAAACGAAAGAGTACGTGTTCTGATTCTAACATCGGGATCAGCCCTGGTTTCCTACGGTGGTGGTATTGACTGTATTCCAATTGTTCAACACCAAATAACTAAACATATGTTGTTGTGTCAAAAACATAAACCTAGACCTCTCATTTAACTCGACTTGTATAAAACTCTTTAAATTATGCAAGATGCCAGATATTAAAAAATAATTTCTATTGTTCAAATTATCACTCTTGTAAGATTGATATTTTGTTTCACGCGTATTTATTGCACGCTTTAATCAAGCAACGTTCATATCAGTGATATTTATTTTGTATATCATAGTTTAAATGTTAACATCTTGATTGATAATATCGCACTTCGAGGTTGAACACACACACACGTGTATATATATATATATATATATATATATATATATATATATATATATATATATATATAATCAAGAAGATGTTAACATTTCAAACTGTCACCTAAAAATGTAATGCTTTAAAAAAACATGAAACACAGTTTACATCATCATAAGGGACACTAAAAGGAAAATCGTTTGAAGTAATGGATTCAAATGTATATGTGCTGATTTAGACAACTGTAACAAAGACTCAATTATAGAACTAAATCCAAAACTTTCTTTATAATTTTTCCGCAGAGGTAGAGATTTCAACTTAGAAATGGAAGGATGGAATATTGGTAACCTTTCACACAGTTTTGTGGTCTGGTTAACACTGTATCCACGATGACATGTGCACATGTAGCCACCCACGGTATTCCGGCATACTTGATCATTCGGACATGTATATTCACCATCATAACACTCGTCTTTGTCTATACACAACCCGTACTGCGAGTTCCAAATAAAACCTTTCCTCTCACTTTCACAGTCACAACTGATGTTAAATTTGTTTTTAATCAGTCCGTCGAAGTTAAGATTAGCACCCATTTTCCAAGAACATGTGGCAGAAGGGAGGCTTTTACAAGGATTTCCGACATCACTTTTCGGATCTCTATATACAGACAAAGGCACGCTTCCCCCCGACTGACGACCAAAACAGGGATCGGGACAAAACCAAAGCAATGCACATGTCATTGAATATCTGGAGTATTTAAGCTCTTCTTCTCTGATATCCACCGGTGATGGTTTTATGCCGCTCTTTGCTTCTGCTACTTTTGACAGTCCATCCAGGCATTTTTGGTCGAACTGTCGATATGCAACAGCTTCTTCCTTGTTCAGTGTATGCCAGCATAGGTAATAGAACGCTGTAGTCTTGTAGCGGAACATCTCTAGTTTCGTCGCGAAGGGCGCTTCTATGGGCGTGTTCGGATCTCCATTCCTCAATAAAGAAAGAGTTCCGGAGTCTTTCGCTGTATTATATATTTCTTCAACACATGAATAAACGTTGGATTTACAGGCGTTTACTACAATATGATGCGCGTCTTTAAGACCGGGTACTGGAAACTGTCGGTAAAATACCATGTCATCCGCAAATATGTTACCAGAAACATAACGCTCGTCTACGCCGAAGTATTTGAAGGCTGCCAAATAAATTCCAACAATTTTAAGATGAAACTCATAAATGTTTTTGTGCTGTTGTTTTATGACTTCGAACTCGCTATCTGAAATATATCTTTTTACCCTCGATTTATCCGTGTTCACTTCAACAATCTTCTTTACTCTTATGTTTGCATTGGAAAAAATTGTCCCATTATTATTGTTCTTCTCTGGATGGCAGTTGGTTTTACTCAGTTGGATGTCGGCACAATGGTATGTAGAAAGACAAAGAGAGACCAGAAGGATCCAATATATTTGCTTCATTTCCTACAGGAGTGTTACATTGACATCCTCGCGCCTGTGACGTCACAAAATATATGACGTCGGTTCCGTTGCCTTTCATACAGAAGTCAAAAAGATATTGACAACAAAATTCAGATCAAGAAGTTTGTTTATAATACATTATGATGTTTATCATAGTTATTTCGTAAAGTGTT